ATATATATATATATTCTGTGCACGAGTCTTACATCTTTTTTCTTCCTTAAAACGTGTAACAATTGTTTCACGATTTTAATTTATTGTAATTAATTAAAATCACAAGCACTCGCACTCTACACTTATTATTTTATTTTATTTTAATTTTTTACTTTTTCCAAGTCCTTTTGTATTTACCAAACAGAGTAAACAGCAAAGTTCACCACCGTCTTTCAAAACTAGCATTCAGTAATGAATGGTTTTAAAACATAAACTAAAGTAAATGATCTTGTAACACGCTAAGCATTTTTTTTTTAAGGTTTACTACATCTGAGTTTGAGAGAGAAAGAAAAAACAGCACAAAAAATAAAATGATTACTCACCAGCTGGTTGAAAATGGACAGATCATTTGAATAAGGAAGAAAAGCTCCATAGCTTTGTGCGGCAGCGAAAGGTGATCCGTACATAGTGGAGAGAACATTAGAGAGCGCTCCGGATGGGCTCAGGTCTGTCCCGGCTCGGGCACTGCCTATCCCCTGCCTGTCCTGCGGGTATATGGGTCGGATGTACTGATATCCCAACTGTGGGAAAGACATTGTTGTGGAGAAAGTCTACTGGAGTCACAAGTCCTCTGACGTCGCCATCTCTTATTTGAATGAGTTTCAAATCTCATTTTATGGCTCGCCAATCATTTCATTTGCTATTTGTTCGCCGCTTCAGACCTTTCCCATTTCTTGTGTTACTTCTCAAAAATTTTGATCATCCACAAAATGGTAAATATTTTACTCTTGTTGAGTCATTAACTTACCGCAGATCTTTTGTGTCTTTATTTGACTCGCGTCTCTTCCACGTGAAACGAAGAACTTTAAATTGAAATCGGAGAGCACACAGCCTACAGAATTGTGTGTTTGGTCTTACTAAAATACTAAAGGGAAATATTATGCGAAGAGCGTTTTTAGTTCATCTAACACGGAACAAACCAATCGGGGTCTCTTCTGACGCCTTTAGTGAAACATCAAAACACTGGCATGTTACCGTTCGCCTTCAGAGTAAGTTGAGAAAAAAAATTAAAAGCCTGAACTACAGCATAATTTCGTATGGCATAGTATGCGGTATTGTGGATTTCTGCAAATTACAATTTAGTGTGGTGCATTTTAATTTTTCAACTATGGAAATGTATTATTATTATTATTATTATTATTATTAGCCTATTATTACTACTAGCCTACTACTATTACTAAATATAGCCTGTGTTTAAGCTGTCAGTCCTGAAGGCTTTGACGTATTAAAATATAATCGCAAATGTTTCAATTGCATTCATGTGTAAAGCTTCTGTTCCTAAAAAAAACATATTTTGGGCGATTAACCTACATGATTACTCTACAGATAGACAGATATCCATTGAAAAGATCTGATATAATCCGCACCCTTCTGTAAATAATACGGATAAAAACAAAGGACGATGATCCCGATTGAAATTCCTTGAATCAATATATGAAAATATGCAGGAAACATTTATAATCGTATTATGCTCCTAGTCTAGTGTCATCATATGTCTGCTAATCGTCTTCCAAACAACGGCACCGATTAGTGCTTTAACGAGTTTCGTTTATTTGAATATAGGATGACTAAATTTCAATTCAGTAATGAAAGATTATGGTGAATCAGCTTCGGCTTGGATTTAATGTGATGTGGTTTCCAAGAAGGCAATGTTCCTCCTAAACCTTCCATCTGCTTTTAAAGAGATAGCCTAGTTATTGTTATGGCATCCTAATAGGAATGTCATTTGTATCGGCTCTTTGCTTATTTAACGACTCCCGGATTTCCATGTTCTCCTTACCACGTGTCTGCTGTTTTACGTCTAATAATGCAGGATTACGGGGGTTATTAATTAGAACAGCAGTCTGATGCCATTCAGAGCGGATGGCAATAACTACATAACCGTCAATAACACCCACACGGACCTGCAGAGCTAACAAGAGCTCTCAGCCCACCCAGCTGACCCCACAGCACTGCGCCATCTGTGACAATACAAAACACATTTAACCCTCTAGGTTTCAAGCAGTCTGGTTTTCTTTATAGTCTTATTTACCTACATGTATTTGCAATTATTTTGATGTAAGCTAACCGTTTTCAAACCACTGAATGTAGTGAAGTTTGAAGCACGGGGAAAGGATAAGTGTGCGTGCTGGTGTCCGCCCTGCAGCGCTCTGAATTCGGATGGACACGTGTCTCATCCCGGGACCTGTCAGGGCCTCAAGGTTTGCCTCTGATTTATTGGCCCAATCAAATACACATGCACTAACTTAACACTTTCACACCGACCCAGGAAACTGGCACAGCCATAAAAGCATTAGGACAGTGTTTTCTTCCTGCCTTCTTCTCCCACCCCTCTGGAAGCCCTTGTAACAATGTAAATAAAATAAAAGGCTTAAGCATTATTATTATTATTATTATTATTATTATTATTAATGTAAAATAATAATGATAATAATAATAATCATCATCATCATCATCATCATCAACAACAACAACATTATTTTTATTTCTGGCAAAAAAACAAAGCACTGAAAATTATTATTGTTGTTGTTGTTGTTGTTTGTATAGTTTATATAGTTACTATAATAATATTAACAGCAACAATAAAACCAAACAATTGTATCAGAATAATAAATATGCATACGCTAATATGTAGGGCACGTGTTTATTTAATTGTTAATTAATTTTTCTTTTTTTTTTTGTTTTACCTATTGCCTAACAAGACTCCATTTAAACGCAGGCCAACATTTCAAAGCACCGCACTAACATCACGTGTATAAATAGGGCAATCTCGGATGTGTGACTTGAGGGATGATTTCTGTGACTCCTTTACTAGCAATTATGCAGATGACACCATTTCGCATTCTCCAACACGCATCCAAATAAACAAGCAGAGACGTTGCGCTCAAAAGCGTTTCCTTATGCAATACACAAGATGCCTGCGACAGCGCTGATCAAAGACTTCAAACAGGGGCTCTTCAAATTACACCTCTGAATCAGCTCTGCAATGCCAAGGCGACAGAAAACAAGTAACACATACCCCATCGCACATGGTCTTTTAAACGGGCTTTTCTGATCCGATCTGTTAATTGAGGTGACAAAGGATTTAAAACGAAAACACACTTAATGACCTTTAATGTGTGTGGTGTATTCGACAGGGGGAGGAATGAGAAATATGCGTTAGAGTGACTGGCCGAAATCACATTTTCTTTAACAGCTCCGGCAAACAGGATTTTATTTGGTTAGAGTTGATAGGGGAAGTCAGTTCTGTGAAGAGTTTACATTTTGCATCTAAGTTTTGGTTAAACAGGAAAAGGACTAGAAATATAGCCTAATAGCTTTATCATCATTAGGCCTATACAGAATCGCAGAATCACTATTGTTAGATGGGTTGTTCTGAAAAATTCTGATTTGTTCTATAATATGTTTTATACTAAGTAATTCCAGATTATTTACCACATTTCATCACATACGCTATTTTTATAGAGCAGTTTACTGCAAAAACAAAATCACAACTTTAGTTTACATAACTTCATTAAAACTATATGGTTAGTTTTATATAGATTAGTTTTAATGCTGAAGCACAAAATAACTCGTAGGGAGAAATACAAATTTTCCTATACAAACACCTATCAGTATGTTATGTCTAAAAATCTAAATAGGCCTAAACACATTTGTGTGTGTGTGTGTGTGTGTGAAGCAGTTTACAAAACAAAATCACAACTTTAGTTTACATAACTTCATTAAAACTATATGGTTAGTTTTATATAGATTAGTTTTAATGCTGAAGCACAAAATAACTTGTAGGGAGAAATAAAAATTTTCCTATACAAACACCTATCAGTATGTTATGTCTAAAAATCTAAATAGGCCTAAACACATTTGTGTGTGTGTGTGTGTGTGTGTGAAATGGCTGAGGACATTTAATCCAATCAATGCTTTCAAAAATGAACTCAGGAGCAAGTGTACTTCCTGAATATGTTTAAAGTTTAATTTTTACTGTTAGCATAATTTGACTAATGTTATTTTAATTAGGTTTCTCCAATCAATCGTGTCTATTAAAGAGATAACTTGCAGTGGAGGAGAAAGTGACGAGTTTTGAACTGTTCCCTGGGCACACACAGTAATTTGGAGTAAATTAAGAGTAGTCAATGGACTGCAACTTATTAAAATGCTTTAACAAATTGTATCAAACACCAAATTCAAACGGCGACGTCTGTTTTAACCCTTCATTAGCGAGGACCAAATGCTCTATCAGAACCGACCTTGTTGTGCTACCGAACATCTACAGGTGGGTTAGATTACACGTTCTGGCGTCTGTACACTGTGGGGATTTTCTCAACCTTTACGTCTCCTTTACACTAACACGGCCGGATTTAGACCTTTTGTTTGCACAATATCAAGAGGCCTAAATAGAAAGAAGGGAAAAAAAATCGTCTATCCTAATTTTATAAATGTTAACCGTATATCTAATATTATACCGTGTGCAGCCTTTCGCAACTCAAGCAAAGCACAGACGAAAAGCGAAGAAAAACCATTTTCCTCAGCATCAACGCTTCGACGACAACCCCAGTCTATTAAGTGACTGCTGAAGTCTGTGTGCTGAGGTGGAGGAAATCTGGAGGGACTTATTCTCGATTGTTTCTTCGGCTGTGATACGGGGCAAGCGTGTCGTCGGAGCAGCGCGGTCATAAAGTGGGAATTTGGATTTGGTAAATTGCGCAGCCAGCGGCGGCCACGCGCGGTAATTGATTGAGAAGGCCAGAGCACGCGCTGCCCAGTCTTCGCGCGCAGCTTTGGTAAATATTTTGATGGCGGTCTTGCGCGGGCTTCGAGTTGTTCTATTAGCAAGGCAGGGTCACTTTCATTTATCGCTATTTGCCAGCATCTGCCCTCTCAGCAAAGAGTGCACACACCTACAAGACCTATTTTTTTCTCAGTTGCCTTTTAGAGTAAATTTGTAGGGATTGACTGACAATGTGAATGTGACAAGAATAGATTTCCAGTTTTTCTACTTTTGCTGGTCATTCAGTAGTTCTACCTGATATAATAATAATAATAATAATAATAATTGTTATTATTATTATTATTATTATTAATAATAATAGTAATTATGAT